TAATAATTGCCGTTCTGTTAGATTCGTATAATAGATAAACGAAGCCAGAGGGTCTAAGATCTTTATAAGATTAATTTTATACCCTCTATATGACAAAACGAATCTCAGTATGTAATCCAGAAAACGTCTGTTTTCGGTACACAGATGCGACAAAGTTAGAGTTTTGTAGAAAAACATCCAAGAACGATAAAGCAACGTTGCTCTCCTTTTCACACGTAAAACGGAAAGCCGGACGCAAACAATTCCAAACTTCATGAAACGCATCCACTTACAACGTGCTATTAAACACACAGTTGTTGTTGTCACTATAACGTACGTAGCTGTTGGATTGACTGGCACTAACAAGCAATTTTTGTTCATAAAACACAACAAATATGTTGGCCATTGTAGGAACTAAAGGGCTACCCATTGATATCCCAGTGTGTCTGTATATCAGATTGTCGAAACTGAATTCGACAGATATGCCGAAAAAACTTAATAAGCTCAATAAAAAAAAGCAGTTTCACGAATACAATGGGGAGTTAAATGACTTCGATAAAGATTGATTAATTTATTTTCTACGACCTCTCAACATTTTGCAGGTTATTTAAATCCAGAAAAGACTTTTTAGATTGTAAGTAGTTTTTGAAATATTAATGAATTAGTTATACAAGTCATACTAATTAGCCCATATTTGGTGGGGGAGAGGTGGATCCATATTTGGTATTCCCAAGCGGCCACCTATCTAAATACTGACCAGTATGGACGTTGCTTAACTTCGGGGCTATAGCAAAGAGCATCAGTAATGTCTATGGTTTCCTAAAGGGGGACACAAGTAAAGAGAAAAATGATGTCGAAAGAACATATATAAAAGAATCCTTTATAGAATATTCCGAATTCATATCTAAAACACATTTTAAAAATTAATTTTCTTTAAATTCTATGATTTTTATTTTTTCCTTTGTGCATAGATTGCAATTTCTTTCGACGAGGGCCGTTCATAAAGTTCTAAGCCACATTCAGATAAAAGAACCATAGCTGAACCTTTTTTTGTGGCAACACACTACCGCTTATATATATATATATATATATATATATATATATATATATGAGAGTGGTCTGACGATTGTGTCTTGCATGAAACAGCCTGTCGCCTGTAAGTGCTGACTTCAATTTTCACTCTCTCTCTCTATATATATATATATATATATATATATGTGTGTGTGTGTGTGTGTGTGTATATATATATGACATTGTTTCACTTTTATATTTACACACGCTCTATCTCTGATATTGAGCACTTTATCCCATAAATATAGCACACCTTAAGAGTATATTTCTTCATATATGTGTATATATATATATATATCGATAGCCGTTTCAGCACTTTTATCATACTGTTGCATTTGATTTAAAAAAATGTGTTTATCATAATTTTGTTTTATTATCAATTTCTTTTCCGTTTCGTTTTGTTTTCAGTAACATGATTACCTAATTACCCAATTAAGTACAGACGACGGGAAATTTATGTTTTATTGCCTGACTGCAAATGATGGACATTTTTGATATAATTAACGAATCCATTATTTATGAGAGCTTGATTAATAATATTGGGTTCATTATAAGATAATATCTGAAATGTGTAGGCAAATTGCGCCCTGTTGATCACAAATTTTATAACAGCCATCTTACACGAGGAACCTTCATAGAAAAGTGAGTAATTGTTATTGTTGGGATCATAACAAGGAACTAGAAAAAAAACCCGCTGAGAAAAATTGCTTTTATGTTGGGAGATAGGAGGGAATTAGCCCATAAATGCGTTTATATTGTTATCGTGGGTGAAGGGGGATTTTCGGCATTTGTCGAAAAGATAAGGTTTAAAGAAAAAGGGAATCAAAAAAGGACTCAGTTTTCTCACAAATGAAGAGGAGACTCAGTGCCACAGGAATGTGGTTCTACAGAAGGATGCTGAGAATACCATGAACGTAAGTTTGAACCAACGAAAAAAGAAAATAGGAAAAAGATATATACTTAGAATCAGAAAGAGACCATTGAAGATTGTAAGTTGCATAATGAGGAAAGAAGACTTGGAAAATTTGACTCCCACAGGGCACTGGATGCAAGATAAGCAGAAGGAATTGGTGAGAAATCTACCCCAAGAGTTTGTGTAAATTGATGGCAGAACAGAGAGTAGGTGGGCTTGTAAAAATAGAAATATTGTTAAGAGTAACAAAGAATAAGAAGTTGTGGAGAGCCATGGTCGCCAATGTATAAAAGAGACGTGGTACATAGAATCCTTATATAAACTTTATATATTATTTGTTAGTTTTTGTCCACAAACATTAAGATCTTGAATCATGATATCGGCTGAAAGTAATCGATAAAAAGTGAAATCGTGTGATGAAACCAAACTTATAAGGCACCCATCGAATCGATGTTCCTTTTGATCGATACGATCCAAACCAGCTGCGTCATTCATCGTTGGTGCCATCAAAGTCTGTTGCGTGAGAAGGATGGCTTTTTCGGAACGAAACATAGGCTTTCAGAAAAAACAACAACAACAAAAAAAATCCCCCAAAACAGTGGCATCGTGAAAAAATGAAACAGACGTGATATATTTTTCTTCTCTTTATTCTTAAACTGTAACATCAATCGAAACAGCTCGATGAAGCAGACCCTTGAACGACCATCTATCTCGTTTTGGCACTCTTCCGGACACACACACACATATATATATATATATATATATATATATATATATATATATTATAATATATTTAAAGATATGTTTGGTGGTACAAAATTTTATCACTATCATGAATAGACAAAAATTAGTTTTATTATTACCACTCATGATAATAAAAAGTAAAAATGAAAAACGGGCTAGCTAACCGGTGCAAGACAATAAGAAACACTACCTGCCACAAAAAAGTGAAGTTTTGAAATCGGTTGAAAAATGTAGGAAATCCAATCCTATATATAAACGAACACACACACACACACACACACACACACACACACACACACACACACACACACACACACACACACAACCTGGGTTTTATAATAAGTATAACTCGATATGAGTTGTCCCCCTTTCATTCTCGCGACAGCGATGCCCATTAATCGTGCTTTCAAATTGATTTCGTGCAAAAAAATGTGTTTTTCCAATTTTTAGCGCTGTCAGAACCACCGCAAGGTAATTTTACGTAGTCCTGTGAAGTTTTGTTGAAATCGGTTGAAAAATGTAGGAAATCCGATCCAATATATAAACGAACAGACACACACACAACCTGGGTTTCATAATAAGTATGATTATTACCTTTAATTGTTTTTGATAGTTCCTTACAAGATCACTACACACACTCGTAGGTATTTTACACCATTTTTTCTTGGGAATACCTTCGAGTTCATCCAAATTTAAGGACTTCTTTTTCTTACTATATTTTCCGTGGAGTTTAGGTCAGGACTTTCTGTGGAGTACGTCAATACCTTAATTTTGCTGTCATCTAAATATTTTATAACAATTCGTGTCAGATGTTTTGGGTCATTGTCATATTGGAATGTCCTGTGATGCCCCAAAGACACCTTTCATGCACTTTATTTTATATTATTTTTAAGAATAGCCAAATAATGCTCTTTATCCATGGACTCTCACTAGTTCTCTTGGTCCAGAAGCAGCAAAACATCCCCAGAACAGAATGTTCCCACCACTGGGCTTAATTGTAGGGGGGTATTTTTTTGGTTTGTGAGCCTCATTCACTTTCCTCCATACATAACAGGAATTCATGTGACCAAATAATTCTAGTTTGCTTTCATCTGACCATAAAACAGAATTGCAATATTTATTCCCATGTTCTAGATGGCTTCTAGCATAAGCTAATCTTAATTTTAGGTCTTTAGCCTTAAACAAGAGAGCATTTCTTGGGTGACAAGTCCTGCTTGATGAAAACATCTAGTGACTGTCTTTGTTGATACATTCAATACTGATGTCTTTACATCATTGACAGTATACTTTGTCATTAAGTGAGGATTCTTTGAGACATCTCTAACAATTTTGCTTAGAAATTAACCATTTTCTGCCAATCCTTTATTTATTCTCAACATAACAATATTTCGTTGTACTTCTTCATAATGCTATGAATTGTTGATCTAGAAACAATTAGATGCCTGGAAAGTGTTGTATATCTATTACCTTTGTTTGTATGCATCAATTATCTTAATTCAGAGCTTTTTTGTCAAGTTCAGCTGTCTTTGCTATAATTGATGAATGAATGTGTTATCACAGTACATGGCACTCATATAATGTCTTCTTCATTACCTTTTAGAATATTATAGAATCAAGTCAATTCTATTTCATTTTCAAAGGGTGTTTGTATTAAATGTCAAATTAAAAAGAACAAAAAACATTACAATTGCCATAGAGTAATATTATTTGAGAATTTCCATAGGTGGGGTGGGGTGTTGATGAATGATTTTGGACAGCACCAATTTTTAGAAAAATCTATAACTATGAATATAATAGATGGAAATTTCTAAAAATTTAATGAATTATTCAAAACTAAATGTGGAATCAAATATTTATGGTAAATTCAGTAAGTACTTGCAAATATTCGCATTTCCTTAGAAAATATGCAAATATTCAGTGGATGCAAATAATCCTGTCCACAACAATATATATATATATATATATATATATATATATAAAGAGAAAGGATGAACACAGAAAACGCAACTCAGAGGAACAGGATTGGTAGCAGGATATCAGAAGGCAGAGGGCGAAAAGCCGGGTAAACATGGGAATATCAACATTATCGTTCATTAAAATACTTTATGTTGAGATAGAGCAAAAGAAAGGTAAAGAGAGAACACAGGAGAAAATAATTGTCTATATCTTATTATTAATTCATATACATTATTATCCTATTCAATTACACACACATACACACACACACACACACACACACACACACACATATATATATATGAATAGGTTGGAATAGATATATAGGTTTGAACAGTCAGATAGATAGAGAGGTATGAAGAGACTTAAAGAGATAGATAGATAGATAGATAGATAGATAGATAGATAGATAGATATGATATGATTTTTTTAATCGGTGTCGGCCCATAAAATGTAGTAAAGCCACTAAGATACAATGGGTTACTGGGTGGTATAATTAGGAAATGAAACATTAATAATGAAGGAACAGAAGTATAAGTAGTCAAGGAGACAGTAGATAGCGATTGACATTGCATCTAAATGTTTGAAGATTAAAGTTGGCTGGAAAGCATGGAGCCGGAAGTGACTAAAAAACTGTTAGTATAGAACTTATGGTTACATGTAGCCAGCTAAAAATAGTTATAGACAGAGTAAGACAATACGCACACGTACACACACAGACACACACACAGACACAGACACACACACACACACATATATATATATATATATATATATATATATATATATATGTATAGAGAGAGAAAGAGAGAGAGAGAGAGAGAGAAATTAAGAGGCATAGATAGCTACCTAGCTACATATGAACAAATTCAATTATGTAAGATAGATATAAAGAGGCATAGATAGATAGATATATATCAGGTCATCCCATATGTTCTGTCCGAATTTTAACTTTTTGTTAAAATGAACGAAATTTAAAGAGTATTTTATAATGTCTAATGGAGTTGAAAATTATTTTTGTGTTTGGATGAATTTAAACTGATCAAATTTTATTTCAGAGAACAATAAAATTAAATTTTGTTTGATTAAAACCCTGCATGGAAGTACCCAAGAATCATTTGAGGCACATAATGCTTTATGAGTTCAAGAAAGGAAACTCAGCAGCCGAAGCGGCTAGAAACATTCACTCAGTTTATGGAGAGGAATGTGTGAATGAAAGAACTTGCAGAAGATGGTTTGCAAAATTCAGAGGTGGAGATTTCACCCTTGAAGATGAAGACCGAACCGGACGTCCAGTTGAGTTTGATGAAAAGCTTCTTGAAGCAGCCCTTGAAGAAAATCCTGCTTTATCAGTTGAGGAATTGGCAGTGGTTCTCAGTTCAGACCATAAAACTGTTCATCGTCATCTTCAACAACTTGGAAAAGTTCCTAAACTTGGAAAATGGGTGCCTCATGTATTGTGTGAAAACAACCTCAAATCCCGAGTTGACATCTGCTCTTCTCTCCATTCTCACCAACTTGTTTCATCTTTTTTGGATAGACTTGTGACTGGCGACGAAAAATGGATCTTTTATCGAAATGTTAAGCGTCGCAGAGAGTGGCTTGGTAAAGGGAAAGGATCCAGTCACAGCTGAGAAGGGAACTTCATGGGCAAAAGGTTCTTCTTTCAATCTGGTGGGATCACCAAGGAATAATCGACTTTGAATTCTTACCACCTAATGCAACAATTAATGCTCAAATATACTGTCAGCAATTAGAGCGTTTGAACCAAGATTTGAGGAAAAAAAGACCTGCTCTAGTGAATCGAAAAGAAGTGATGTCTCATCAGGACAATGCGCGAGCCCACACAGCAAGAATCACGTCACAAAAGATTGGTTGGGAGAAAATTCCCCATCCACCTTATTCTCCCGATCTTGATCCTTCAGACTACCATTTGTTTCGTAGATTACAGAATAATTTGGAAGAAACAGCTTTTGTAACACAGGAAGAGTTTAAAACTGACATTTGTGAGTTCTTCGAATCAAAGACAAAATAATTTTACAGTAATGGAATTAGTAAGCTTGTTAATAGATAGAAGGAAGTCATAGATAATCAGGGAAAATACATTGTTGATTGAATCTGTAATTAAATGTAACATTTGGTCACTTGTTTGCTTTATTCAAAATTCAGACAGAACTTATGAGATGACCTGATAGATAGATATGAACAAATTCAAAAAATATCTATGAACATATATATATATATATATATATATATATATATATATATATATATATATATATATATATATATATATATATGAAGAGGCATAGATAGATAGGAACAAATTTAAATATATATGAACATATATATATATATATATATATATAGAGAGAGAGAGAGAGAGAGATTGATACATATATAGAAACATACTGAGATAGGTGGATATGTTAGATAGCTAAATAGTACATAGATAAATATGAACAAATTCAAACATATATGAACATCGAGAGATAGATATGAAATGATATAAAGAAACACTATAAAGAAAATACAATGTTGACAATTTTCTTCTAAAATATGTATTTGTTTGCTTTCATAATCGACATGGCGGTAACAATGAAAAAAAAACCAAAGCTAAAAAAGTCGAAATGGTTAAAAAGTAAAGGAGAAAAAATCGGAATAGACAGCTTAATGTTTGTTATTGTTTGAAAAAAAAATCAATTTTATGTCAATAATTCATAATAAATGCCATAAATAAAAACAGTTACAATAGAATCAATGCAGAATTTTACACAATCGCTAAAATGAATATTATATCTTTGCAATTAATGTTGTGTTAAAAGCAATTTATTAAAAATGTATTCAGTTGTCTAAAAAACTACATTTTCTTTGGTTTTTAACTCAACCGGTTTTAGATAATCTTATGCTATACAGCTCCCTTCGAAATAAAAGAAAATTAATTCGAAACTCCTGAATTGGAAACAAAATAAAATTGATAATATCCCCTTAGACCCTGAATAACATTCTTTTTACTTTACATAAAAGATCTTCCTAGGAGTATACGCCGATCATTTGTGAATATCTGTGCTGATGATACAAAGGTCTAATAGGTGTACACCTGCAAAACAACAGATCATCAGAGATTGTCAGCTGATGTCTTTTTCGATTGGGCTTTCAGTGGTGGAAAAACTGTCTGGTTTTATTCAAAAACCAAACCAGTTATATTCCATTATCGCCGATCGGACCCTGAACTACCACCAGTCACAATGAATCGATTTTGCCTCAGGGAGGTCTCTCGTGACTTGAGCAACTATTGGGCCTCCAGTGGCGCTAGTAAATGCGATCCATGCAAGAAAATTCTCGGTTCTCTCTACCGTTTCGGCAAGTACCCGTCTCTTTTTGCTATTCTCTAGCTTTACAAGAGTCACATCAAAGCCTAAAATGGGGTTGGGCACAAGCAGGCCAGTCCTCACTTTCCAGTCTTGATAGAGTCCAAAAGCATCTCCGCGTCTTTGTGGGTGACAAATAATTTTCCACCCTACAACGCCTCTCCCACAGATGGGGGTGTAGCAAGCCTCTCATTGCTCTATCGATACTTCCATGGAAAGTGCTCATACGAACTAAATTCATTACTTCTACCAGTTCTAACCTTGACGGTTGGGGCCCGACATGTTAAGCACATTGTATCAAACCACTCACATATCCTCCGTATTCCATTGGTGAGAAGTAAGTTCCATTCAAGTGAACCACTGCATTCTTGTGAACCACTGCATTCTGGAACCGACTGTCAAGAGGATGTTTTGCCGATCACTACAATCTTAATCTGTTCACGTCTAGGTTTAACCCTTATTTCCGTCCTGGGTAAGACGTTAAACTACGTCCAGTAGCATTGCCTCTGATCAGGTGGTTTTGAGGAGCGTGGCACCACCTTTTAATTGCTGGTGTTCCCAGGTCCACCCTTACCTAGCGTGGTACCACCTGTTAGGGTCCCAGCTATGAGCAAATAGTTAACTATTACCAGCAATACTTTTTTTAAAAAAAGAATTATTAACAGTAATACAATTTTGAAGGAAATATATTACCAGAAACAGATTTTTGACAAAACAAAATATTACCAGCAATAAAAGTTTTTGTCAGCATTAAATAATCCATTGAGGTTGATATGCCGTAAAACAAAATAAACCATACCCTTCTAAACCAAAGAATACATATTCTATTCATACAAATCTACCCTAAAAATGTTTTCAGCATTAAATAACTCATTGAGGTTGATATGCCGTAAAACAAAATAAACCAAACCAATCTAAACCAACGAATACATATTCTATTCATACGAATCTATCCTAAAAATGTTTTCGGCATTAAATAACTCATTGAGGTTGATATGCCGTAAAACAAAATAAACCAAACCAATCTAAACCAAAGAATACATATTCTATTCATACGAATCTATCCTAAAAAATGTTTTCGGCATTAAATAACTCATTGAGGATTTGATATGCCGTAAAACAAAAATGTTTTCGGCAATAAACCAAACCAATCTAAACCAACGAATACATATTCTATTCATACGAATCTATCCTAAAAAATTTTTCGGCATTAAATAACTCATTGAGGTTGATATGCCGTAAAACAAAATAAACCAAACCAATCTAAACCAAAGAATACATATTCTATTCATACGAATTATCTAAAATCCTAAAAAAACCAATCCTTAAATAAAAATGTTTTCCAAACATTAAACCAACTATTTTATTCATACGAATTATCCTAAAATGTTTGATATGCCGTAAAAATGCCGTAAAATAAACCAAAAACCAATCTAAACCAAAGAATACATATTCTATTCATACGAATCTATCCTAAAAATGTTTTCGGCATTAAATAACTCATTGAGGTTGATATGCCGTAAAACAAAATAAACCAAACCAATCTAAACCAACGAATACATATTCTATTCATACGAATCTATCCTAAAAATGTTTTCGGCATTAAATAACTCATTGAGGTTGATATGCCGTAAAACAAAATAAACCAAACCAATCTAAACCAACGAATACATATTCTATTCATAATGAATCTATCCTAAAAATGTTTTCGGCATTAAATAACTCATTGAGGTTGATATGCCGTAAAACAAAATAAACCAAACCAATCTAAACCAAAGAATACATATTCTATTCATACGAATCTATCCTAAAAATGTTGTCGGCATTAAATAACTCATTGAGGTTGATATGCCGTAAAGCAAAATAAACCAAACCAATCTAAACCAAAGAATACATATTCTATTCATATAAATCTATCCTAAAAATGTTCTTGGCATTAAAGAACCCATTGAGATTGATATGCCGTTAAACAAAATAAACCAACCCAAAGCAAATACTTATCTGCCCCACATATCGGCATAAGCTGTGCTTCTTACTCTGTAACACTACTTCGAGTCACTTGCCCCCCATTACAGGATGGACCTCAATTCTAGA